TTTGAGTTCACAAATCTTTCCTCTCTTTTCAGGATTCGAAGATGGGCTTTGGCATTGCTGTATCAGGAGGGCGGGATAACCCAAACGAGGACACTGGCGAGACGTCCATCGTGGTATCTGATGTCCTGCAGGGAGGGCCGGCTGATGGATTGTTGTTGTATGTACCATTTGTTATTTTATGGTTTTACTCCAAAGAAACAAACTCCAAAATAAATCTACTCACAAAACACATGTAACAGCTTGATAAAATAAATAAAAATGTAATTGAGTTCAGTTGGATTAACTTGTGTTTTTACTTTTGTTTAGTGAAAATGACAGAGTAGTGCAGGTGAACACCATCCCCATGGATGGAGCCATCCACTCGTTCGCTGTCCAGACCCTCAGGAAGTGTGGCAAAGTAGCAAAAATTGTAAGTAAAGCATCAATCTCTCTTTTAAAAAAGAATCTACTCTTCACATTAGGAATTAGGATTTTTCTTAAATGGATCTGTTTGTGCTTTTATGGAAAAATTCAGACAGTCAAGAGGCCCAGAAAGGTTCCAGTCAGTGTGCTCAATCGTCAGCCATCACCTGATGACAGAGTCTTCAACAATGACTACAATGATGACTACAACTATGATCAGGACCGACGTAGTGTGTACAGCGCTAGGAGTGGCGGAGGCCAGGACCAAAGCCTGGAGAGGGAGCGAGGCGGCTACATGGACTCCGGCTACCACACACGTGATCGTGACTATGACCGGCGGGAACGTGGCAGGAGCACGGAGAGAGACCTCAGCCCGGACCGCCAGTACCGGCGAGATGGCAGCAGAGGGCGCACTTTGGATAGAGAGTACAGCCCAGATCGCCGCTATAAGAGCGAGCATGCGCTTGACCGTGACTACAGCCCAGACAGAAGGTACCGCAGCGACCGCACATTAGACCGAGATTACAGTCCTGATCGGCGTTTCCGCAGCGATCGAGCCCTCAACCACAGCCCCGACCGACGCTACCGAAGCGACCGAGCCCTGGACCGCAACGAGAGCCCCGATCTGCGCTACAGGCGTGACAGTCCAGGACGAGGCCGCGGCCGTGATCAAAGCTACGATCGAGGACTTGACCGCATCGCAAATGAGCCGCGGAAATATGACGAGCCAATAAAGCGAAGTGCAAGCAGGGACCGCCTTGAACGCACACCGTCACCTGCTGCTGTGCCCCTCCCTCTGCCACGCCCTGCCCGGGACCTGGAGCCGCTGGAGAAACCTGTGAATGTGCTACTGCTGAAAAACCATCCCAACGAAGGTGAGACACTAAAAGGCTGTCAGATAAACAAAACATGTGAATGGTTCACTTCACCTTAAATGAAAAGGGTTACAGTCTCTATGGGTGGCACGGAAAGCTAACCTTTACTAAAATTCAGGTTAAATCCTATTTTTATGTTAATGAATGAATAACAAAACAATCTATGTTGGAGGGTTGTGAACTTTTTCCAGATTCTGAACTAAGACGTAAGAAGAAGTTTGAGAATCCCTCAGTTAGGTTCTTATCTGGTTTATTATTCAGCATAGAAAGGTTAACCACTTTCCTACCAGGTTATCTGGTCTCTTCCTCAGCTGATACCCTTCTACACAACCATTTGGCAAATCTCACAAAGGTTGCTGCCAATAGTACTTGTGCATCTGCAAGCCTGTTGGAAACCTGACTCCTGCCCCAGCTCTTCCTTTTTCTGTTTCTATTTTAATTTCATATCTGTTGCAATTTATATCTGCTCTGTTCTGTAGTGGGGGCTTCCTTCATATGCACAGGGAAGGGCATGGTGATCCCAAAACAAGGGTTTAAGTGGTCCTGACTAGAGTTTTGTTACCCATTTCTAAGTATCTTTGATTGATATCATAAAGAAGTAAATAAAACATGGACAGCTATTTGGGAAAGAAACCCCCTCCTACATTTAGCACAAAAACAAGTGGCGTCTGCCACAAGAAAAACAATTGGCAACAAATTTGATAAATGGTAAGCAGAGGAAAGGATGCACTTTATTTGAAGGTTTTATTAAATGGATGCAAAATGGAAATGTCCTAATTGTACGTTTAATTGTTTACTCAAGCAATTCTAGCTCTCTCTCTATAGAGAGAGAGAGAGAGAGTTAATGGAGGCACGGCCATGTCAGCATACATCACCACCAGCTGATTACAGCATATCAGCAGATAAAATGGCTTGTACCATTCATCAGTTTGGCACTCGCTGTTTACTGGCTTTATTTTTAAATTGAGGTGAATTTCTTCACTTGGCACAGAAATGCATAAAACAAAATGAACAGTTGGAAAAGTGATCACAGTGCTTATAGGTAAATTCTTATTTTAAACATCAGCCTAGTATTTCAGTGCATCATTTATACAGATGTGTCCAGAGGCATTTTGGTCAGTGACCGTTAATAAACCCTTCAGAGGTCGAAAAGTGACCTGATTAATTTTTCCATTTGTTCGGTCATGCCAGGTTATCTAGTCTGTGAATGTCAGATATAATTAAAGTGGAGTTGGGTAAAATAAGGTAAAATATTTGTTTGATTATTTATACATAAAATATATGTGTGATTTGTGTTTTTGCAGAATATGGCCTTCGTCTGGGCAGCCAGCTCTTCATCAAAGAGATGACCAGCACAGGACTTGCTAGCAAGGATGGAAACCTGCAGGAAGGGGACATTATTCTGAAGGTAGGGTGGTGTATATTCCTTATTTGTCATTTTTTGCTCATTAACCGTCCATCTCTGACAGTTCAAATGAATCCTTATTTATATTTTAATGGGCTTTCGCTCAGCATCTTGGGTCACGCTTTGGATGAAACGATCCGTTCACACAGGGTTAAAGACACTGCCTAGCAACTACAGATCGCTACGGAAAATGAGTATTTCCTGACCAGTTGTTGGCAGTCGATGTGAAATCGATGGCTACATCGCAGTCACGCAAGACTAATGACTAGTTTGTGACCCCATGGCCCAGCTGTCGCTATGGAAAAAATGAGTATTCCTCAGCTGGTTGCTAAAGCTTGCTGGTATTTGCTCAGTAAGATTGCAGAGAGCTGTATATACCTCTGCGCTGTATATACCTCTGCACTGAAACGTTCCAGTTGCCTTGTTCACTAGTAGGTTGCTGACAACACAGACACTCCGTAAAAGTTGTTGGTTTCAGTGATATGGTGCGAAATTTAGTTTGAAGGTGAGTGTTCTCCATTTCTGGTTTGCATTACACTTTCTTAAGTTACAGCTCGGCAAGCAATCAAGAGCAGGCGGAAGTGTAACATCTTTAGCAGACAGCTACTGTTATGTAAAATAAGAAACATGCGTCTAACAGAATAGTATTTCGTACTAGAAAGAGCAGCAGCGATTAAACATTTAGTCAACAAGTCGCCCACATTCCTATCAGTACCTGGAAGAAGCAGCTGCCACACAGAGGCAGGGTGGAGTGGTCACTTTTACATTTGTCTCATATTAAACAAGATGAACAAGATTTATGAAAGTTTCAAATAACGAAGACAGCGTGTGTAAAGGTAATCTCAGTGAACCAACGCTCAGGATTCACACTGCTTTAAAAGCTCAGTTTTAAACTTTTTTTTTTCCCCCTACTGTTTGCTCTGTATGATATCAGTGAGAGGGGGGTGTCCCAAGTGTGGTCATGAAGCCCCAACAACCTGCGGTTTTTAAATGGTATTTATGTGAATGGCAGTAGTCTTAAAATGAGGGTGGAAGAAGCTAAAAGGATGAACTTAAGGACTGCATTTCTATTTAACTTTAGCATTTAGTAAGCCATTATTGAATTTGAGCTATTTTATTCCATGGAGTATTTCTGAATAGTGTTTTAATGTTTTTTTAAAAATGTGTTTTATTTTTGCTCTTTGTTTTATTTTTGTTTCTTATTTTAGCTTCTTACTGTCATATCTTTTATGTGGACTGTTGTAAATCAGTTTTATTTCTTTACCCTATTTAATTGAGCTCATTTCATTTTTTTTTTTTTTTTGTACCTTATTGCTTTGTTCTACTTTAGCTAGCCATTTTTGTTGTTGTGTTTTTGTTACTTTTTGGCTGGTTTTGTCTCCTCTGTCTCTGCCTCTTTTGACTTGTTGTATCTTTACAGTGTACGATAAATAAGGATTATTTTAAGCTTTAACAAAAATCTGGAGCTGGACATATGCCGAATAGGTTCAGTTTAAAGATCCCCCATCTCAATGACATCATACAGAGTCAAGAACAGAAAAAAAGTATCTGAAACTGACTGTTTAAAGCAACCTGAAGCGTGAGTGAGCTTTTGGCTCACGGAGATTAGTTATGTGCTTACCTCATTAAACCTTTGACCATGTGTAATATCAACATTTGTAGTTGTGATAGTAGATGTTTGTATATAACATTAGGAAAAGCATAATTCCTTTTTAAGTGTACCAAATATTTAAAAACTGTAAAACATTGCATGCTTTGTTTGTGTGATTCGTGAGTGAGAAGCGTCTGCACATCTCCTAATCCCCCCTGTCTCTGTCAGATTAACGGGACTGTGACAGAAAACCTGTCTCTCAGCGATGCCGGGAAGCTGATTGAGAAGTCCCGCGGGAAGCTACAGCTGGTGGTGCAGCGAGACAGGAAGAAGATCCTGGTTCGAATCCCGCCAATGGTCGACAGCGACTCGGAGCTCGACGGTGAGAGAAACTCGAAACTGAAAAGCAGCAGGTCCTATGCCGTGTAAAGGCACACCTGGCGAGTGGCCATCATCATCTCCATGATCATCATCATCTTCATCATTTTATATATATATATCTAGAAATATAAACCTCATTGCATTATGAACTTCTAATGAATCAATTGTGGAAACCTTAATGCCATTAATGTTTCTGTACCTGTCAATCAAATTTGTTCTTAATTCTTAAAATAAAGGCTTTACTTACATCAACTTTTAGTTTTATTTAAATATTATTTCACATACACATTTTCCACAAAGCACTACGAGCTAACCATATTCAGCACATCATCACCATCCCTCCACCCTCTTATTGCTCACCCCTTTATACCTGTTTTTATTGTCACATGACCAGATGGCATGCTGTTATTGGTCGGTAAGGATAGAGATAAGTGGTGTGAGTGGATTGTTCACTGACCAAATGTTTGCCGGGGGGAGGGGGAGGAGGGGAGGGGGGATAGCACAAAGACTTGTGACCCAGTTTGACTGGTTTGGGGTGTGTGTGTGTGTGTGTGTGTGTGTGCGCATGTGTGAAAGTGCTCATTCGCCTCTAGCGGCGTGATCTAATCCCCTATCATAATCCTGCTACTGGATATGACAGAATTTCATTATGTTAAGGTTCGCACCGCTGCAGCCTTCTGGTTTCTACCATCCAGCACCATTCTTTGTAATTCTGTTTGAGGACAATAGGGACCGACTGACTGAAAAAATTAGGATTTTGAGGTCTGACAGGTACAAATCACCTTAAGTGCACATGTGTAATTTTACTTTGTAATGGTATTGCTGTGCTTATTCCTCCCTGCCCTGCAGTATAACATAAAAGTGCAGTCTAGCTTCCACACCCTGAATGCTAACATTGAAACATCCTGTTGAGTTTTAGTGCTCCTCGTCATCATTGTAACCCCAGAAACTGGTATTGCATATCTAATTGGTGTGGCTACTCATCTGGGAACAGTGCTCTGACCTTCATTTGTCTGAGAGCTGTGTGGCCCCCCGCCCCCTGCTTTCACGACCCACGGGCCATTTGAGCCGAGCAAAGGCCATGTTATGTAATTTACAAAACAAAGAAGGAGAGATGCAGCATTTTACTCTTTCTAATAAAGTTTATAGGCTTTACCACCTGAACACAGAGGACCCCACCCCCATAGCTGATTGACTCTTGTGTGGTTTCACAGGGGTTGTGATATTTTTCATCATCCTTGTGTGTTTCAGATATCTCTGAGATCGAGTCGTACCGCTCCTATTCTCCACAGGATGACAGACGGGCCCACCACTCTGACCTCTCCTCCCATTCCTCCAATGAGAGACTTCGAGACAAGCCCAGGTACACTGTCATTAACGGCCAATTCTGGTATATTTCAAGCTGTAAAAGCTTTTAATGAGCTTTTCCCCTCAGCCTCAGGGCTCAGAGACTACATCTGACTACGATGCTCTGACCCAGATGGCATGTAGCTGAGGTGTTTTGGGCATGTCTTATCAGGAGGGAGGAGGCCCCAGAGCAGACCCGGGACATGCTGAGACTGTCTCTTTGCTTGCTTGGGAACTCCTTTGCGTCTTCCAGTCAGTGCTGGAGGAGGTGGCTTGGGAGAGGGAGGTCTGGGAATCTGCTTTAGTGTGAAATCAGAAAATGCAATTTCAGTTTTATTTTTATAGGGGGAAAAAATTGAAAAAGAATACAACAATCAGATAATACTCTATGAACAAGCACTGGGTGATCACGGGAAGGAAATTTAACAGGAAAAGATTTCTGGCAGATTCGGCTCAGGGAGGGGCAGCCATCACCAGGAATGCGCAATTAGGAACTTAACACAAACTGTACCTATTTATTTGGCCATTTGACCTTTTCAAAGATATTGGTGTCTACGACACCAATCCTAGTATGAATCCTAGCCCCTCCTTTATTGTTTGACCCTTTTTATTTTTCATGAAGTCGAGCACAGTGTTCATTCGGTTCACCAAGTTGAACTCAGTCACATTCCTATGATATCAGCTGATCTCAGTGCTAGCCCACATAAACTGATGGTTCAACCGATATCTTCCTGAACATCCTGTTTAACTTGCTTTAGCCTGCTACCGTTGCTGCATCTGAAAGCTGCAACCCCCATCCACTCGTGCTCCTCTTCATGCTTATTCATGTCATATCTGCCATCCATGCCTGCTCTATTTTGGACTGGTTGCTCTTGCAACTGCTGCTTTCCCCATCTCAGGATTTCCACTACACACATGCATATGGAAGGACAGGAAAGTCTAAGAACAGAGCTGTACTCCCAAATCTTACTGCAGAAATAAAGTTCTTCTTTTACTTTCGTGGTCCTGACTGAGTTAGAAGATTTTGTGGCTCCACAGGTTATGCCAATTTGCACTACACACCTCTGCTCCAAAGATTTGTGGAAGATAAACTGAACTGGGTTGGGCAACGATTCCAAATCAACTGGAATTTTATACAGGTCATTTCAAATGTTTCTGAGTCTGACAAAAAGCAAACACACAAAGTTTAATCCTTGAAGAGCTGGGTCTGTATTGTTTTGGCAACTGCTTGTGACCTCATGTCTCATTTTCATTCATAGGAAAGAATTATAATTAACATTTCCTCACAACAAAAGATTTGTCTGCCTGCTCTAAAAACAAACAAACAAACAAACAACCACAATCATCTAAAAATGATTTTAAGTGTTGCTTTGTTTTGTGCTTTTCTTAATTCTAGATACCACAAAAGCATTGAGCTCTGCTTTGGTCAGTCATTTATTACGAATGCATTAAATACACCAGAAACAAATCAGGATAATGTAGGATTATGCTGATTTTATGCTTCATGAAGCTCAGGCAGTCCGTCACATCAAATATCGGAAAAACCACCATGTTATTAAACCAAACCGGAAAAGGAGTCATAATTATATCAACCGAATTAAATGTGTAAAATGCTTCTTTTAAACTTTCCAAAAATTTGGGATATTACCAGAGAGGAACCGCCTAGCAGGCTGGCAAAAATGGGTGCCATGCCAACCCCATTCAGAGGTGCCGACAGAGACGTTGAAGATAAGGCTGCTTTGCACGCAGAGAGGGAGGAGCCACGCTCCGAGACACCACCAGGTAAACATGAATCCGCCCAGAATATACAAGGCTGTAAAAAAAATAAATAAATAAATAAAGGTCAAATCAGACAGTTGAATTGAATACTGTGACTGTAAATGATTTTGTTTCTGCAGTACCAGCTGCCAGTGTCGCCCCAAAGGTTCACGCTCCCCCTAAAGTGCCACTAAAGCCAAGTGCAGAAGACCTGGAAATATACGGGTCAGTATTAGTTTTGTTTTTTGTTTTTTTTTTAAATTGAGTTGCTCAAACTCAAATTTACTCAAAAACAAGCCAGCTTGGTTGTTTCCGTCATAAATAGACTCTCCCTTTGTCAACTGTTGTTTCCATAATGCAGGCCGAACACGGTGATGGTGCGTTTCCAGAAAGGTGACAGTGTGGGTCTGCGGCTGGCGGGAGGAAATGATGTCGGCATCTTTATCGCCGGTGTTCAGGAGGACAGTGCAGCAGAGCAGGAGGGTCTCCGGACAGGAGATCAGATCATGAGGGTACAGCACGTTTTAGTTCCACATTTAAACCCTGCACACACAAGAGTGCTGTGTCTGAAGTTGGAGAAAAAAGACAGAAGCCTCGTCTTTGAGACGTATATCAGGCCAGATTTCTCATTTTATTCCCTATTGTGTGCTTCAGGTGAACAACAGAGACTTCAGAGGCATGGTGCGTGAAGATGCTGTTCTCTACCTCCTGGAGATTCCTAAAGGAGAGGAAGTTACCATTCTTGCGCAGAGCAAGCCTGAAGGTACTGGACTGGATAAAGAACAGCTGCACAAACAGTACTAATGCCAAAACCTTCCTGTGTTAAAGTATATCACATAGACACACACAGAATATGATAAAAGTCTTAGTAGAGCCAGTGGCTTGCTTTTCTATTTCCTGTAATTTATTTATTTTTATGATAATAGATGAATGAGGAAAAACAAGAGGCCCAAATTTGAGCCATGTGGGATGCCAAATAATGGTGGGGTTTTTTTTTTTAGCTTCTGTTTTCTTCTATTTTTACCAGTGTATAAAGATGTCTTAGCATCTGGCAGAGGCGACTCCTTCTTCATTAGAACCCACTTTGAATATGAGAAGGAGGCCCCGCAGAGCCTTCCTTTCTCCAGGGGGGAGATCTTCAAAGTGACGGACACACTCTATGATGGCAAACTCGGCAACTGGCTGGCAATCCGTAGTGACAAAAACAACCAGCTGTTAGAAAAGGGAATCATCCCCAACAAGAGCAGGTATGCAATGATGATCATCTTTGTGCAGACACCCTTTCTGCCCCCTGCTGGCCATCAGAAAAATTCACTTTCAGACGTGATGGCTATGTTTTTTGTTGTTGTTTTTTATTTTAAATCTATATATTTCAAGTTTTTAATTTTTTTTTGTATTAAGGATTTGGCTGGATATTTTATCATTTTACATTTTCTTTCGCTGGTAAGAAATCTGCATATCATTGTGTGAGCAGTCTAACTAGACAAAGTCATATATTCTTGTTTTCGATATCAGAGCAGAGCAAATGGCTAACGTCCAGAATGCTGCACGGGCTGCATCGGGCAATGACAGAGGAGACTTCTGGAGGATGAGGGGCCAAAGAGCTGCAAAGAAGAAAGATTTGCGCAAGAGTCGAGACGACCAGGGCAACGTTCCGGTTACACGCTTCCCCGCCTACGAGAGAGTGGTATTACGTGAAGGTATCCAGGAAACCCTTTCACCCTGCAATTTCACCTGAGGCATTTTGCAGAGGTCCTCGCTGTGCCAGAACTTCTGAATTAATTCTTTTGGTTTCATTTAGCTGGTTTCAGGAGACCGGTGGTGATATTTGGGCCCATTTCTGACGTAGTTAACGAAAAACTGGCCACTGAACTTCCTGATCAGTTTGTCATTGCTAGTAAGTATCACGACCGCCTGTAAATAAACATTAGCACTAACAGAAAAAGGTTTCTGTAGGCTTTCTTTACTCTGTTCTTGTTTGTGAGTGGTTTTTGTCTCCTTTTTCAGAAACTGAGCCCAAGGATGCAGGAAGTGAGAAGTCCTCTGGGGTGGTGAGATTGAACTCTATCCGGCAAATCATTGAACAGGTATGGTATAATCATTAGAAGATAATGACGCTGTATGAACACTAGTGCAGTGCCTGTTATGGGAGTGTGCAACACCCATTTTGTCCTGTTACAATTTATTATTTCCCCTATTTTTAATTTTTATGTCCCCTAAACACCATTAAACCAGAGTTGAATAATAGTGGCTCCATAATTGTAGCAATATAAAGCTTTAGATAACACGCCAAAGATCCCCAGCGTAATTTTGGGTAGATACACAGATCCTTTTGGAGTTGCATCAAAACTCCAAAGGGATTTGTTGCATCAGAAGCATAAAAATCTGCCAATAGAGGAGCATCTAACAAGAAAGAGTTAAAGAATAACTTGTGCAGCCATGTTTGTTGGAACCCATTAGAATTTTAGACTAAGTGATCTTTTTTTATAAAAGATTTGACCTCATAGTTTCATCCACCTGTTTGAGGGCTAAGAATTAAAATAGGGTAGGGTTGTCAGTCTGTTCTGGTCAGCTAATCAAAATTTAATTTTAATTGAGATTTTGCTTTCCAGCTATAACCCTTTATTACCTACCATAAAAAAAGCCATCATAGAGTGCTTCTTTACATGCTGTAGTGCTGTTTTGTGCAGAATTTCAACTTCCTATACATCAATACAACCTTTATATCCCAAAGTCCATAGTAACCAAATAAACTGCTAAAAGAGACAATGTCATAGTTGAAATTCACCTGCAGAGTTTGAAGTGGCTCAGATGAACAGCTGTCGAGAGTGACAAAACAGAGATTTCTGTGCAATTATTAGTCATCATCCAACATATAACCATGTTTTTCTTTTTTATTATTCTCCTGCAGGACCGTCACGCTCTGCTGGATGTGACTCCCAAAGCTGTGGACACCCTGAATTACACTCAGTGGTACCCCATCGTCCTTTTCCTGAACCCTGACAGCAAACAAGGTCTGAAGACCATGAGAAACCGCCTCATACCCGGATCCAACCGCAGCGCACGCAAACTGTATGAGCAGGCCCTTAGGCTGAAAAAGAGCTGTTCACACCTTTTCACGGGTGAGTTTTATGTGATTTATGGCATGGTTGTCCGTAGTTAACTTGTGATTAATCAGATTTTTTTTTAAATCAGCTGTAACTGTACCCTTAACAGGATAGTTTTCATGTTTCTAATATTCTTACCAGCATGGGGGTGGAAAATATACATACTTTATTCACATTTATGCTTATAATTATTGCAACAGTCCAAATAATGACAACTATTACTGAGAAAACCCCCAGAGGTACTGCATGCTCATAAAATACACTGAATGTACCCAACAATTTACTTCTTTCTCCATTTCTGCTCACCATCCACAATGTAACTGATGAAACCACTTCCAGACAACCTGATCTACAAGGCCAAGCCAAAGGTCACAGAGCCCACATGCGTTAATCGCGTGTCAAAAAGCCAATAGAGGCGTTAAAAGGAATTTGCGTTGACGTGGTATTGTCATGTTAACTTTGACAGTACTAAGGATTATGAAATCTTTTTCTTCATATATTTTTTCTTTTAAGAATTTTTTTTTGTTTTTTAGACACCATCGACTTGAACTCGGCCAATGACGCATGGTATGGCAGTGTAAAAGATTTAATTCGGGAGCAGCAAGACAAAGCTGTGTGGGTGTGCGAGGGCAAGGTGAGTGTCAGTGAACTTCTGCAGACCACTTGTTTTTGTGTGAATTTGACTGTTTCTTACACCCCTTCCCTTTGCTGTTACTTTCTTTCCTCAGGTGGATGGTTCAGAGGAGGACCTAGATCTCCAAGATGACCGCATGTCCTACCTGTCGGCAATGAGTGACTACCTCAGCATGGACAGCAGGATGACCAGCGACTACGATGACACAGCGGACGAGGGCGGGGCGTACACTGACAATGAGCTGGACGAGACACTGGATGAACCCCAGCCCGTGTCAGCCATCAGTCGATCATCAGAACCTGTACTGCC